TGAGAGAGTGTTCCAGGGAAAATACAAAAAAAACACGAGACTAGACAAGGACATAAGCAGGGAAGATAAGGGAGAGGAGAAAAAGTGCGTCCGCCTCCTCCGAGAGCCAAGGAATATTGGTATATCTCAACCATCTTTCTTCCTGATGTTGGTTGGAACAACTACATCTATCACTATGGCCTTCTTTCTCTTCTTGTCCACCACTGCTATGTCTGGTTAGAAAATAAGCTGTTTAAATGTTTTTGTCTGCAGTAAAAATTTCCTCCATCCATCAATGCAAACAGTTTATTGCTAAATGATAACTGTCACGGTCCTGTGTCGGTGACCCAGTCTTTTGTGTCATTTTTAGTTTTTGACTTCATTGTTTATCACCGTTGGTGTTTTTGGGTTTCTGTTTTGTATTTCTAGCTCCCTAAGTTCTCGAGTATTTCTTGATTTCTAGTTCTTGGGTTTTGTTCCCGAGCCCCTCGTGTTTAGTGTAGGTTAAGTTTTGTCTTTATGTTTATTTTCTTGTTCCCCAGTCAGTCATGTCTCCTGTCACTCCTGTCCCTGTGCTTCACGTTCCCTTTGTTCAGCATCAGGTCCGTGCCGCTGTGCCTGTTGTGAGTTTCCTGTTTTATTTTGATAGATCCTGTCCTGTGTTCAGTGTTTTGAGTTTTGCTTTTCCCGTGTCTTGTTTTGTCTGATTAGTCCCAGCTGTTCCCCATCCTCTCATTATCCTCAGTGTTCCCCTGCTCACTGTGGTGTCGTCACCATGGTCTGTTTTTCCTCTGTGTTTATGGTAATGTTCAGGCTCTCTCAGGTTTTGTTTTCTAGTTTCCTAGTTTGTGTTTTGTGTTTGCGTTTCTAGTTTACCTTTCTTGTATTTCTTTTGAAAGTTTTCCCCCAGCAATAAAGCTACCGCTTTTAGTTTATAATTCAGTCTCCAGATCCTGCATTTGGGTCCCACATCCTGCCTGCTGCACAGCAAAACATGACAATAATATAGAAAGAGAAAGGTCTGACTTCATATAAATCCTCACGTGTTTGGTTTAGCCCAAAATAAGTGGAACAACATTGTCTTTTGATATATCACACTAATATATCACTAATAGTTTTTTCTCTAGGCTTTTTGCAGTTTGGAGAATTTGACTGAAACAGTATTGCAGCACAATCACAAAATGCTATTTTTACTCTGGACATACGATTGTCACAGAACCTGTTTTGCCAACCATATTTGGTGTTTTGGTGTGTTGGTCATGTTGTGTTTACTCTCAAAGACGTCACTTATCAATGATCAAAAAGTATATCGTAAATTATAATGTAAAATCTTAGATGCAGTTTTCCACAATTGCCTTTTTCTGGCCCAATAAAGCATCTAAGCAAAAGCTGATGTCTTGGAACTTTTCTCTTTATAACATGGCTGGAAATTCTGAACAGGAACTCATGTCATGTATGTTCATTGGAGACAATGAGATAATTTTAACTTAACATTTAACTTTACGTCCAACATTATTACAGACCAATCAGATTGTTTTAAAATGGTTACCTCCCATCTCATTGTCCCCTCCCATTTGATAAAACCACATTAAGATTAATCGTCATGCAGTGAAATCTAATTTTAACTGAGGTCTGAACCAGAAAATGTTGATCATATTGTGCGTAGCTCTTTTACTCACAGCTGGGCGTAAGTATGCATCTGTGTTCAGTTTTCTCTGTGTTTCAGTAATTGTTACCTTTTACACTTGGATAAATCTAAAGGATTGTCTTTATTTTTCAGGATGCATGGATGACCAAAGCTTTGTAACAAAAAATGTTCATCTTGGAGAAGATGTGACTCTGACGTGTAGTCGCCGGTCTAACTTGTCAGGATTACTTTTTTGGATCCGAGTTGTTGCTGGAAATCTGCCTGAAGTCTTAGGGGCGACCTACACTTTTGATCATGGCACTGTTAACGGAACTCCTCGTATTCCAACAAAGCAGGAAACAGGAACATTTGTTCTCCATATAATTCAAACACAGCTCAATGACACTGCCTTCTATTACTGTGAAGA